GTGGTTCGATCCCCACAACTCAAGCCAGCCAAACCTCCCCTGAAGGCATTCAGAGCAAAAAAAAAAAAAAAAAAATCCTTCTGCCATTTTAGAGACCTTAATTGAAAGATTTATCAATAAAATAAAATAAAAAGAAATGGTACACACTTAGAAGACCAAGATGAAAGGTATTCAACCATGAGTTTTGTATTACACATTGCTATCCTCGATGTACTTGCTCAGATTCTTCTGGTTCTTTATAAAATGTATAACAAGTTGTTGTAAACTATCACCACCGCATTCTGCTATAGAACACTGGAACTTATTCCTCAAATCTAACTGTATTTCTTTTTTGTTTTGTTTTGGTACTAAGAGATTTAACTCAGGCTCTCTGCCACTGAACTACATCTCCACTCTTTTATTTTTTATTTTATTTTACTTTTTGAGATACTGGGGATTGAACTCAGGGCCCTGCACTTGCCAGGCAAGCCCTTATTCTACTGAACTATCTCCCTAGCTCCTCCACTCTTATTCTTTAGTTTTTATTTTGAGAAAAACTTTCACTGAGTCACTAAAAAGACTTTAATTGGGGATCCTCCTGTCTCAGCCTCTGTAAGTCCTAAGATTACATCTACCTGTATTTTGGTACTGTTTATCTCCCCTCCTCCCACCCTCCCCAGCCTCTAGTGACCAGTGTCCACTTGGCTACTTCTATGAAATCAACAAACTAAACTTCCTCTGAGAATACGAAGGAAAAAGTAGTAAAATCATACAGTCATGAATTCAGTTCTTCTCACTGAAGAACTCTAATGGGAGTCATACAATAAATACTACGCAGGAAGAGTACCAAAAAGTGTTTCTGTCCACCCTGTTCTGGTCTTGAGGCAGCTGGTGCCCTGCACTGGGGAGGAGGGTATGATTTTGGAGTTGCCTCACTGGCCAACTGGGCTAATCCTTTTAGCTATCTTGGTTACTTACTGACACTTGAAAAAAAAACAAATGTTTTTATGTAAAAATAATATTCACATGTGGTACAAATAAAGTTCCTAGAGTACACAGGAAATTCTCGGCCACTCTAGGTCCTCGTTTCCCTTCTAGAACCAGCTACTGGGGAGAGGTCTTTCTAGAAATAGTTGGTGCATTACAAGCATAGATGAGTGTATACGTAAGGAAGACATACTCATGCCCAGATGGATCATCATTTCTATTTTCTTGCATTTAGTAGGCCATGAGATTCACACCAAGACAGATACATTTATGACTACATACCACCTCTATTTTTGTACCGGTAGAAATACATTACTAAATATATTAAATACTTTTTGAAACGTATAGGACTTTACAACACTTGCAAGCATTTCAACTGGTGCTGTACTGATTTTATGTAACAGCTACATTTCTAAACATGTACATATAAATCAACTTTTAAAACCAAAATGTACTGCACATGTGCTAGAAACTTGGCTATTTAAAGGATCCTACTGCTACATTTTTTTTTTTTTTTTGGAAGCTAAGGATCCTTTTAAAACAAACACCACCCTCTTGAAATTTCTGTAGGGTATAAAATTAGGTTCCAAACACAACATGTAATCTCACTTGCAGATACTGTTACAATAATAAAATGTGGCCCATTTCAACAACTGAAAACATGTATGCTTCTCAAAGGAGAAGAATTTTGAAAGGAGCACTTCCTTTTGTGGGTTGACATAAGTAATGCAGGTTTTCCAGTCTGTTGGAAGCTAGGATTTTACCTTTAAGAGTCCCAGGGCAGGGTAGGAGATGTTTGGAAATTTTAACTCAAGTGGTTCCTGTTGAAAGAAAAGGGGTTTTTAATTTACATCATGTATGCAAATTACAGTTACCTGAAATGAAGTTTCTTTGGGGTAACACAACTTCCTGGCCTCCTCCACCCCTTCCCGCGCCACCTTGTACTGAAAGCGGCCTCCTCAGGCCTGTGTCACAGGCTCTTCTCTCCCCACCTCCAGATGGCTTTTCCCAATTCTCTTCCTAACCACTCCCTTCAGTTCCTAAAGAAGGCAGCAAATTATAAGTAATTACTAATGAGAGAAAGAAACACTTGCAATGCAACTCTTGTTTCTGCCTGGGTTTATATAACGTGCCTTTCCTGAGAATAATAAAAGCATTTGAGGTGGTTTTTTTTTTTTTTTTTTTTGTATGGGATCTGGCTACAACTGCTTGGACACACAGTGATCCTCCTGTCTCAGCCTCCCTAGAGTTGGATTACAGGAGTGTGCCACCATGCCTGGTTTTGCTGGCTGGCACAATGAGCCCAGGGTTCTGGGGCTGGTATGGCATGCTGTTCTGGGGATCAAACCCGGGTCCTTGTCCTTGCCAGACAAGCACTTAGACCACCAAGCTATCTCCCCAGGTGGTTTTTGAGTTTAGTATTTATTGATATTTTTGCTTGCTTGCTTGCTTGCTTTCCTTCTTCCTTTCTTTCCTTCTTCCTTTCTTTCTTTTCTTCCTTTCTTGTACCAAGAATGGAACTCAGGGCCTTGCACTTGCCAGGCAGGTGCTGTGCCACTGAGCTACATCCACAGCCCCACTGACATTTGTGTAAAGGGAGCTTCAAATCAGGCTTTTTTCTCTACCCAGGTAAACAGATGATTCTTGGATTTCTGCAATAATAAACACTGTTGTCTCCTCCCACAAGTGCCCGCTGTCTCCCGAACCAGCACAGTGTAAATGGAGCCTCTGGGGCAGCGTCTGCCAACCTCCGCGGGCCATTTAGGGCTATTTTGCTCCAGTCACATGCTGAAGGCCCTCAGGACTTAGAGGAGCATGGGGTGGGGGGCGCTGCCCTGTGTGAGGCAGACAAATAGGCCAGTTAGAGAGAGGGCATTCACAGAGCCAGCGGAGCAGAGGAGGGCGAGCAGCCAGCCAAGCTGGGCGGAAGAATGGGGCTGGTGTGCAGTGGGGACAGGCTGGCAGTGTGAGCCGCAGGCTGCAGCGCTCAGCCAGGCGCTAATGACACAGTCGGCGCTGTGGGCAGCGCGGAGCACAGTGTAACTCAGACGGGAGCCAGAGCCTGACCGTCCCTGATTGTGCACTGATAAGGGAGAAGACTGGGGTTTGGAGTTCCCCACATTCAATAGGAGGAAGACGTCCAAAAGCAGATTTGGCCCTGGCCTTGGCAACGCCTCTGTCTCACCCCCGCAGGTTGCATACGGAGTTCTCCTGCTCTTGCTTCGTGTTGAATGTGTGCGACACGGCCGGCCGGCTGGGGACTGACGTGACAGGGCTAAGGCAAGCTCTGCTGTCTCAGCAACAAGGCTTAGGACTAGGCAGCTGCCCTGCAGGGCCCATCCCGCCTGCTGAGCCAGTTTCCCAGCCCTAGCAGCTGCTCCCCGTGAGGGTTGTGACCGGCACAGGGACTGGGGCACAGATGTTCCTCCAGAGCTGCGTCTTCCTGTGTTTCTGGCAACAGGAAATCTCCTGCAGGACAGCCTCGGGAATCTCAGGGCAGCTTACTATATTTTTCAATAAATATCCCCCCCAGCAGACAATCGAACAGGAAATTGCTAAGGGATATTTGGGGCAGAACTGGGAAATGTCCAGGGCCAACGGGGGCCAGCTGGGTCAGCGCCCATCTACCAGGTGTCATTCCTGCCTTTTCCCGCGGGACCCACTCTTCCTACTGTGGCAGGAGGGGGAGGTGGCGGGGAAGTGGAAGTCTACACTATGCACAAGCCAGGAGACAGACTGCAAGCGCAAGGGACAGGCGGAACTTTCGTCAGAGACTGAACAATTACTTTCAATTTGAAAGGGCCGTCCTCCACTGCTCGAACTCTGGACTTCACAAGCCTTAACTGCACTCAGAAATGTTTTCTGTGTTTCTGGCAGTTCTTGGGGTCGAACTTGAGATCTCCTACGTGCCAGGCATGAGCTCTACCACTGAGCTACATCCCCAGCTCTTAACAATTTTGAGTATAATACAGGGGCATTAGAAGACATTCTCTATATGGAATGAAAACAACACCCCAAAATTTCACCACAAAAAGGATGCCCAGTGTTCATATTTTGGTATATATCCTTGCCGCCATTTATTTAATAAATGTAAGAAGTTTTACAGAAACTTCTGACTTCCCAGAAATTACCATCTTATTTTGTTTGTGTATGTAAATATTTGAAATTGTATTAATATCTACTTCAATTATATTAAATGGCACATACTATTTTATAGCTTTTTCATTTGACAATATGTTATAGACATTTTTCAGATAAATATCAGTAGATCTAATTATTTTTACTGGCTATATTATTTTTCAATTAGAGATGTACCATCCCCTACTACTGGAATCTTGAAATGATCTCTTAAATGCCACATCTCTGTGTTCTTGTCTAATGGTTTTATTGGGATCAACTGCTGGAAGTGGGTTATGGATATGAACATGTTATAATTTTCAGTCCTTTTGAAATGAATTTTCCCCCCACACTGGCCACAACCCAGGCGTCAGACTGAGGCTGGCCAGATAAATTCAGTGTGGTTTCCTCACGGTCTGGGGAGTGAGTGTACACAAGGCTAGAGAATTCGGACAACACCAGGGAGGATTTCCTGGGCGGGTCAGTGGATCTGTGTAGAAGTTGGCTGGCTCGGAGGCAGCTGGGCTCAGCTGATGAGATGATAAGGGCAGGTGCAGCTCAGGCAGGCAGCTCCCCACTCCTGTTGAACAGGCTGGCCGTACTCTTATCAGCAGCCTCAAAATTAGCACCAAAGGCCAACGTCTAGCAAGATGTGCTCCAATTTTCTTTTTCATTCCTCTATGAAACTTGCAGTACAAATTAAGCCCAAGCAAAGAACCACCACAACCCAGCCAGCCTGTTCCAGGAGCTTTCTCCAGAACGACTTACTCACCATGTCCTCAGGGTCTGGGATTCTCACTCCACCGAAGTACTGATTCGTGCTAAAGACTTGCTGGTGTCTAGGAATCAGATCCCCTTTAAGACAAAGAAAGAGGAGGCAAGTGAGACAGGTTAGCAGACACTGACCTGTGGTTTCCCTCCACAGAAGCTGTGTCTGTCTCTCCCACAACTACCACAGAGCAGTTTGCTTTAGGAACCAGAATCGTGCAATCGTTCAAGCAGTGCAGCCCATGCTAGCTCTGCCGCGACAACACACTAGTAGGAGCAGAGGCTGTACCCTCCAGAAACTGAGGTCGGCACGCTTCTTGCTCCCCAGGACTTACCGTGTACTCAAGGAATCCAATGGAATCTCTCTCTCTCTTTGTCTCTCTCTCTCTCTCTCTCTCTCTCTCTCTCTTTCTCTCACACACACACACACACACACACACACACACAAAATGATCCCTTTAAAAGTTAAAAAAAAGTACAACAACTGCAAATCAAAATTGTATTCACTGGATCCTGGTGAGTGGAGATAAAAATGTACTGAACGAAGACCTGACACATATATTTAAAAGAGAGGAGGGAACTGAGAAAGAAACAAATGCTGGAAGATTTTCTACATCAAAGAAATGCAGGGGGTGGGGATATAGCTCAGTAGAATAAGCGCTTGCCTGGCAAGCGCAGGGTCCTGAGTTCAATCCCCGGTACTGAAAAAAAAAAAAAAAGCTATATTCATATGCTGAGCTGTATAAGACTCAAGTCAGCAACTTCTGATAATTGCCAGTTGTGCTGATGACTCACTACTATTAGGGACCGTGAAGATGGTTCAGTAGAATAAGCGCTTCCCTGGCAAGCACAAGGGCCTAAATTCAATCCCAGTTCCACCAAAAAAAAGAAAGAAAAAGAAAAAGAAATACATTTCTAGGGCTGGGGAGATAGCTTGGTAAGACTGCCTAACAAGTGCAAGGACCCGGGTTCAGTCCCCAGTACGGCATGCCCCTGTGCTGAGCCAGCCACCAAAACCAGATGTGGTGGTACAGGCCTGTAATCCCAGAGCTCAGGAGACAGACAGGAGGATCACTACAAGTCTGAGCTGGGTAGTGAGACCTTGTACCAAATAAATAAATAAATAAGAAAACATTCCCAGACTGGGAAGATAGCTCAGTGGTCTAAGTGCCTGCCTGGCAAGTGCAAGGACCCAGGTTCAATCCCTGGTTCCACATGCGGTGCCAGCCCCGGAACTAGTGAGACCCCTTTACCAAATAAACAAACAAATAAATAAATAAATAAATAAATATAAGATAAAATAAGATAAGAAAGAAAACATTCCCAAGCTGGAACCACCTTTTCTTGTTATATCAATGAATCATTGGTTGGATATCATTTCATCTGTTTTGAAGCTCTTATAATAAGAGCACAAGCAAAAAGAGTATTTCTATATTCCAGGGGACAGTGGGAAGCTCACCCTGTGCACACTGCAGCCACAGGAGCTAAAATCGCCCTCATGTACAATTCTAGGGATAGTACACTCAAGGAAGTACTTGGTTCTGAGAATATAAGGAGATGCCCAGACCCTGGGAACAAGGAAAGGCAAAAGCCCCCATTTGGGGGGTCTCTACATGCTGCCAAGGACTGGGCTGCAGCTCCCCACACCAAGCCATCGAAGTCTAATTCTACTGATTTTTGAAACTTTACTTCTCACTTGAGCCATTCTGGATGAGCAGTCAAGTTGTCACCGCTAACGCTTTGTGCAAGGCCTCAGGGAGCTGGGCTGTGAACACCGTTCTCTGCGCCCTAACGCCCTCCTTCCCGACCTCCTTCCGTCAGAGCTAAGGGGTGATGCCAGAGCCATTCTATTATCACTGGAGGAAACAGCTAAGGGAGGCCGGGTGCTCCCGAAAGGGCCACAAAGTGGCAGCCTCTGCAGATACTGGCAGAGGCTAAGCAGAAACACAAGGCACAGTCTCACCCGTAGGCAACACGTGGTACCCCGGGAAGATAAAAGTAGCAGGACAGAGTCGGGCATGCTAGAGTTAAGGACACCAGATGAGTCACCGCATCATAGCTCAGTGGAGTATTCCCAGTCTGGAAATCTGAAATCCAAACTGTTCCAAATCTGAAATTTTGACCACCAATCTGACGCCACAAGTAGAAAGGCCCACACCTAAACTCATAGGGCATGTTGCAGTCAAAATGCAGGAATACTACCAAATATTGTATAAAATTACCTTCAGGATATGTGTATAAAGTGGATATGAAACATAAATGAATTGTATGTCTACACTTGGGTATCTCATTATGAATATGTAAATATTCCCAAATCTATAAAGTCTACACTGCCGAATACTTCTGGTTCCAAGCATTTTGGGTAAGAGCTACTCACCCTATAAATGAAATAAACCACCATAGCTTCTGTCAACTGCTAAGCCCTTGCAGAAATATAAGCATTGGGCTGGGGAGACGGCTCAGTAGAATAAGTGCTTCCCTGGCAAGCGCAAGGGTCTGAGTTCAATCCCTGGTTCCGCAAAAAAAAAAAAAAAGCATTGGTGGTTGCCATGATTGTTTTTTTGAGGTCAACTTCATGCAAACTATGCTAAGAGAGAACCATAAATTATATCTTTTGGACAATTAGTAAATACTTAGTAAATGTTCATTATTTTTATTGAAACACAAATGGGTACCTGTAATACAGACATTTCTAGGAGGTTTTCAAGTTGCCCTTTCCTAATTGTGAAAGGCATCAGAGGAGCTAGCGATTCAGGTCTGCCCTGTGCCAACCTGGTTAAAATCAGCCAGCTTCCCAGCAGGTGGGCTGAAGACCTTACTCACCCAAGGTTTTCCTAATCAGATGAAGCTGGTCCACATCTGATTTTCCTGGCCACAGGGGCACTCCTGCCAACAGTTCAGCGAAGACACAGCCAACGGCCCAGACATCTACTGGGGGGCCATACTGTGTGTCCCCCACCAGCAGTTCCGGGGAGCGGTACCACCGGGTAGCCACATAGTCTGTGTAGTAGTCGCTCGGTCCAGCTGGGTAATGATGCAACATGGAAGACAGAAAGAGCAATGGGAGCCTGGAATCAGAACTGGAAATGAGAGACCTAAGGAGACGAGCCCTGTCCAAACTGTGGCTCTTCCAAATCACTGTTCTCCGTCCTGGTTGCACTTTAAAATCCCTTGGAACTTAGCATTTTTTAAATTGCTGTTTCTGGGTCTATACCTCACTCAGTCCAATTAAACCAGAATCTTTGGAAGGGTTTCATAGTATCCCAAGTAGCCCTATAGTTTTTAAAACTTCTCTGGATAATTCTAATTTGCAGACAAGATTGAAACCTACTTTCTAAAGTAGCACTTCTGAAAAGTATTATGTTAGCAGAAATTGGCAGAAGCCAGGAGAATAACATACGCTTAATAACCACTCTACTGTGGTACAGCTTATGTGCAACATATATTTCTAAGCCACTGTATATGTCTACACATTTTCAAATTATAATTATATTACAGAATTCTGTAATTATAGAATGATAATTTATAGCAAGATTCCCCCCTAAATTATAAGAACCAGTTATCTATAGCATCCAGATCCTTCGTCAGAGCAAGAACATTTCTATTTTCTATATTTGAGTAAAGAAAACTTCAATACTCACTCAAAAGCCGAGCAAATCCAAAATCGCAAAGTTTAATCACTGAATGTTTTGTGATGAGGATATTTTCTGGTTTCACATCTCTGTGGATGCACTAGTTGCAGAATTCAAAACAAACACAGGTTATAAAGGAGAACTCTGATATAAGGCATAAATAAAACACACGAATAGGAGAAAATACTGAATCAATCATTGGAATCTCTAACTGGCCTGTTGAACGAGAGTAAAACAGGAGCCTAAAATAAATCTAGTACCAGACCTATAGCCTGAATCATCCCACATGCTGAAGGGACCAAAAGGACCAAGCAGGGTGAAATTAAAAATAAAAATAAGGTAGTGACACTTAGCAAATGCAAACATAGGACAGCCAGTTAAATTTGAATTTTAGATAAGTTTTCTTTTTAGCACTGGGGTTTGAACCCAGGGTCTTGTGCATGTTGGACAATTGCTCTAGCCCTGAGCTACAGCTCTATACTCAATAAGTGATGCTAAAAGTATATATTTGCCCCGTGCAGTATTTAGAACATGCCTACTTTAAAAAGTTACTTTAATTATTAAAAGTTATTTTGGCTTGTTTATCTGAACTTCAAATGTAACTGGGAGGTCTATATTTCATGTGACAACTCTAGGCGAAAGGGGAAAAGCTAAGAGACGTCGAGCCAGGCCTGCATCATGGCCGCAGGAGCTGCTAGTGGGTGCGCAAGCAGAATTCTCAACTGCACTGCTGAATTGAGAACAGTGCTGAGCTGGTAAACAGGACAAGCCCTGGGCCTGCTGAGATAAGCTGGGGACAAGAAGGGAGGGGATGAGGAGCTTGCCAAGCCACCTCCCTCCCTGCTCTCACATTTGTCCTGACAACATAAACAAGAGGAGGCGGCAGCCCGCGTTCTCTGGAGAGAGTCGCTAGATGTCAGCTCTGTCCCAGGACACATCCATCCAGTGCTCTCGGAGCTGCAGCCACCCTCCACTATGGTTCCTACTCCATCATTTAGACTCCAATCACCTGGTTTCCAGCCCGCAGCCTGCATTCCTCAGCAGGATGATGTTAGAAGAACATTTGAGGATCTTCACATGACTTTCTTATTAAATGACATTTTCCTTCACCAGGAAACCCAGGCCAGCAGCCTAATACCAGTTACAGTTAAAACCCCAGTTGGGCTGCAGCGTTGCTCAGGGTGGCTAACAGTTTTTCTTTCTCCCCAGAGAGACTCCCTTGGCCTACAGCTGGCGGCCCTAGGGTTATGCCCGGTGTTTTAGAAATGGGAGAGGGGACAAAGGTTCTCCGTGGGCCTGGCCAGTTCTCATTGCAAAGGACCTTTGGGGTGAGAGATTAGCATTAGTGCTTTCCTACAGCTTTTTATTTGCTGGAAAATGGGGAGGGTGTTAAATCATTTTATTACAATCTATCTAGTTCTCAGCAATTAATGGCTCTTAGGATCTCCACTTTTTCACCACTGGCTTCAAAAATTGCTATAAATGGGTACATCCGTGAATACCCTGATGGGTATTGGGGATGGTCGGGGATGCTCATAAGCAAGCATGCGTTCCCATTCTGCCCTGGGAACTTCTTGCAAATGTCTGCGCCCTCCCCCACCAGCACTCGGAGCCAAGAGAGCATCTGGCGCTCTTCAGGAAACTGTGGTCCGCGTTATATTTGTCTTCAGCACCTCAGATCTTCCCCACCATTGTGTATATAGCAAGACTTTGCAGCTTGCAGTGTGTGGCTGGGCCTCCGAGTGTCCCTCTCCCCTACACTAAAACTCGATCTCAGGAAACTGCTAACCATCACTCTCAGGCACCACTCCCCTGCTGTGGGATCTTAGGGCACTCTTTTTTGAGAGGGTTGCTTTGTTTGTTTTGGCAGAGTGATGGGGATTCAACCCAGGGCCTCATGCACGAAAGGCAAAGGCCCTACCATGGGCTATACCCCCAACCCTGACAAAGATTGCAGCCTTCAGCTAATAGAGGGTACCTAGGAAGAGGTGCTGGCTACTCTCATATTTTCTCCTTCTGGGAACACAGCTTCAGAAAAAAACCAAATTATCTGAAATAGAACACAAGGCAGGGGATTCATTCAGCCCCACCAGCTCAACTGGGTCTGGTAGTTGGTAGGGTGACAGATTGAGTCAAACTGCAATTGTGGCCAAATGAAGCTCCAACATTGGAATCGGGGTCTGTTTGGTTTGGTTATGGTGCTGGAGACTTGGAAACTGTTTTGCTCTGGTTTCTGCAGTGCTGGGGCTTGAACCCAGGGCCTTGCACATGCTAGGCAAGTGCTCTGCCACTCACTGACTGACCTTTGCCCCAGCTCTTAAATCTGGTTTCTATGAGCAGGGAGTGGGCAGGCTGCCTGCATCCGTAAAAGCCCAGCACCTGGTTAAGTGTCCACTGTGTCTCCCACACACCCAGTCTGCAGCCAGGGACACCAGGGCGGCCACTGAGACAGGCTCAGCACGCCTGTCTCACCAGAGCAGCACTGTTGCTCTGGGCTTGGGCCTCCACCCACTGCAGCTGGCACATTCAGCTAGACAGCACATGGCATCTGGGGCCCCCCTTGTAACTGCAGGCTGCGGGAGGTGGCGTCCAACGCGAGCTCCAAGTGAACGGGATTCTTGCTCTCTTATACTTCAGAAGTTTTGAAATACACACAACTTTCTTAAAATATCTCTTAATGCATGTTTTATACAATCTGAGTGAAAAGAAGTAGCTAGGTTGGCGTTTTGGGCCTCTAATGCCAGTGAGGCATATTGAAAATCTGGGTGAGAAGTTACATCTACAGAAGCCTGATATAAACATTATACACGGCTCCATCCGAGCTTAAGGGCAGCTGCCTGAGTTTTCAAGGGAGAGCGCGAAACTTACATTGTGTTTATGGCAAAAATTTACAGCTTGCAGTGTCTGCCAAGTTATACTCTTCACGAGATGTTCTGGTACCCTAATAAAAATAAAAAGCAGCACAAACACATTCTTTAGTGTAGCCATGGAATTCAGCTGAAAACATAAACCAAGATAGACCTAGGGAGTGAGAAGAACTAGGTGACGCAGAGTCACTGAGGAGCCTTGGGTGTGAAGAACATGGGATCAGCACACCCTGAATTATAAAGCTCTGCGAAATGCAAACATCTATTTCTCCAGGAGGGGACCATGATTTCAGCAGAGACGTGTGACCAGCTACCCCCCGCCCCACTGGCATTCCACCTGGAAACTTCAGAGCTATTTCTATGAGGAACTTTTTCTTGGTGTCAGGTCAGTTCATCTATAGCGCAAAAGATGCTGCTTAACATTATGTACTGCAAACCCGCACAAAGGAAGGAAAAGGAAGAGATTGGGGAGACAGACGGAGAGGGAAGGGAAGAGAAAAGAGATGAAATGGGAAATTAAGAAGTGTCATGTAGCCGGGCGTATGCCTATAATCCTAGCACTTGGGAGGCTGAGGCAAAAGGACGGTTATGAGTTTGAGACCAGCCTAGGCTACGAAGTGAGCTCAAGGGAGCTTGACCTGCATATTAAGACCCTGGCCCAAAAAGACAAACATATACCATGTGCCACCTCCCTGTAAGGAATGAGATTCATATTGTGAACATTCACACACACACACACACACACACACACACACACACACAGGTGCTCTTTAGTTTTTCAAGTAGCTTCACGCTGATGGCTTTGAAGCAAGGCTCATCCTCCACAGATGGGCACGTAGTCTCTCCAGATTCCTGAGTCAGTTTTTGGTTTGGTTTTGTTCTGGTTTTTTAGGAAATGAAGATTTCCCTGATAGGAAGAGGCATGCACTGCACACTGTGCAACAAGTTAGTAATAGTGAAAACCCCAGATAAGCACCCTGGCTCTTCACCCCCGTGGCTCCTTTCTGGTGGCCAGCTGCATCCCCTCCATGGCCCTCTGCCCTTTCCTCAGCCTAACATCTGTCCAGCCCTTCTTCTCTGACAAAGCAGATTGAACCAGGGTGAGCAGAAGCCAGGGGTGGGGGATGGGGGTGGGAGGTGGGGGCACTTGGAATGAAGTCAGAAAAAACCACCTTGTCTTGTCTCGGAGCATTTTTGAAAGCAGGAGGGAAACAGGCAACAGGGATACACTGATTATCACAGCCCCCTCCCACCAGCTGGGCTTACTATTTTAAAAAATCAAACATGAAGGCATGTGTTGTGGTCCTTAGCCAAAACTAACAAGCTGGCCAAGGAGGAAGCTCTGGAGTTGTTGTACTAAGGGTGACCACAGAAAGTCACCTCTACCCCCACAGAAGAGGGCACAGGGCCACAGTTGACACAGACCAGACGTTCAGGAAATCCTTTTGAGAAGATCAGAGGATGCATGCGCAACGCGGGACAACATGCAGGAAATGGAGAGGCCACCGCCTGGAAGGGCAGCCATGTGAGGGCTACGTCCTGGCTTGGATTTGGGAGCTCCAAGTTCTCTTGATCTAATGACACAGGCGCAGGTGCTAGAAAAACTCAGCTGTCAAGCAAGGAGCCCTAGGAAATTACAACTGTGAAGGTACATTTTGGGTTCCGTCAACTCCATATTTTGTCCATAAAAATAGAATATGCTTTGGTTATTCAATGAATTAAGTATTTAACATAAAGTTATCACTGTTGGGCAAGTTATATCTCTACAAATATTTTCCAAAATAAATACTTAAAAGTCAATTGTAATGGTATATGACTAATGTTCCACTAGAGTTAAGGACATTACTGTACAATGCTCCAGTGCAGAAACTGCAGCCCAAACCCAGCCACCTCGGGCTGGCCACTCACTTGGCTCCTTTATTACCCAGTTTCTTCTCCAGAATGCCAGAGAATCGATTCTAATACCCTTTTAGCTGCCATATTCAGAGGTTATAACAGGAGTCAGGCTTTGGTCATGGGAGAAGGGACTTACGCATATTGAAAGACAGAGATAAAATATATTCTGTGGTATTGGGTTGGAATCAGAGGGGAAAGGGGAAAGAGGGAGGATAAAAAAGGAGAGGAGAGAAGGGGAGAGAGAAGGGGAGAGGAAGGGAGGGCAGAGGGGAAGGGAAAAGGAGATGACAGGACAGGACAGGAGAAGGACAAGCCAGAACAGGCCAGGCCAGGCCAGAGAAAGACAACAGCAATGTTGCACCGGGGGCTGCTGTCTTATCTAGCTCGATTCAGAAAGCTCCTCTGAGGGGCCAGGGAGATGGCTCAGTGGAATAAGCACTTCCCTGGCAAGCGCAAGAGCCTGACTTCAATCCCTGGTTCCGCAAAAAAAAAAAAAAAAAGAAGAAGAAGAAGAAAGCTCCTCTGGTTAAGCAGACTTCTAAAGTAGTGAACAGATTTGGGCCATATTTTAAAACTAGAAGCTTCTTGATTTTCCATGGCACTGGATATGAGAAAGAGGAGAAACAGACGGTATGGAACATCCAAAGGAAGCAGGAAGATCTGAGTTCAGGAGGAAAGCCAGGCTGGGAACATAAACTCAAGCAGCATAAGCATATCGATGGCACCAAGGGCCACATACCCAAAGCTGTGTGTGTGGTGAACGCAGATAATGAGGAGCAGCTCACGGCTAAGTGCTGAGGCACCTAGACCTGGAGCAGAGATCCAGCCAGGAGGCGACACTCAAGAGTACAGCGGTGACAGAAAAATATGGTGAGAGAGCCAGGGAGATGGCTCAGTGGAATAAGCGCTTCCCTGTCAAGAGCAAGGGCCTGAGTTCAATACCCAATTCCGCAAAAAAAAAAAAGAAAAGAAAAAAAGTGTTTCAAAGGCTCAATTGCATTCTGTCTCTCAAACCTGAGTAGAACATTAAGTCAGAATCCCAAAAGTTAGAGTCGCAACACGCTTTGGTAAGTAGAAAGCAGTTGAATAAATACATGGCTTCAGGCCAGGGAGATGGCTCAGTGGAATAAGCGCTTCCCTGGCAAGTGCAAGGGCCTGAGTTCGATCCCTGGCTCTGCCAAAATAAATAAATAAATATGTGGCTTAACATATCTCAGAAAGTTAAAATTTAAATTAGGAGAGAGGAAAAAAGTGGAGAATGGACTAATTTATCCCCAAAGGATGCTTAAAATGCTTAGATATTAGAAGTCAAGATCTCTGATCTGGGAGCTAAGGAGTGTGGAAAATCTGTCTAGGAGACCGATCTCCACATTCCTTCCCCTGCTCTATGCCAATTTGGCACACTGACCCTGCCTGATGGAAGGCTGGAATTTTCTTTTCTGGCGGAGATATAATTGATAGAGGACACGTGATGTAGTTGAAATCCTGGGCACTGTTCTGAAAATAGGGGGTGAAACGGTGGTATGACACCAGTGGCTGGGTGCGAGACGCCCGCCCTCTTTCCCCACTAGGCTGGCAGAATGTTGGCAGTCAGCGCTACCTACTCACTCTAGAGGCAAAATACGGGAGGACATTTGGGGCTAGACTTGGGGGGAAAAGACTGAAGATTCTGATGCTGGGCTTCCCCCCACAACGGACCAGGAGGAGAATTAGCTCCAGGGCGAAGTTCAGAGTTTCCAGAGGCTCTCTGCTCTCAACCCTAAGCACACAACCAGAGATCATATGAGAAAGTTAGAGAACAAAGCCAAGGAAAGGAGCAAATGACAGAAACAGAAACTATGGAAGAGGAAGAGGACATTTTATAAAATCATTAATGTCTTCAGAGAGAGAAGAAAAGGTGTTGCATCAATACAGGAAGAATAGGACAATCTAAGTCCAGAGTACAACAGCCCAACAATATACAGAAGAGGTAGAAAGGGAAAGTGACAAAAGAAAATGATGAGAAATCAATAACAAAACAATTAAATTGGTTTTTTCTCAGACAGAAACGGCCCACCTAGAACCAGCAAAATGGGGAAAATCAAAGCTCGTGATTTTCACGGTCCAAAACAGTGACAACAAAGAAAAGATTCTAAAAAGCTTCTGTAAAGTAAAAATAAAAAAAGAAAAGAAATAGGACTTTACAAAGGCACAGAAAACAGGTGGCATCAGACTTCTTAATAGCACAGAACACAGAAGGCACTAAAACAACGCCTTCAAAATATTGAAGGAATCTTGTCAACCAGAACTAAATAAATCAACCTAGTCACAAACACTCTTTCTCAAGAAAACCCTGGAGAATGCACTCTGTTAGAAAGGAGCAGCAACTCAACAAAAAAGATACTAGGAAATGGAGAAAAGAGGAGAACCAACACAAGAGGGAAACAATGGGATCTCCAGGAAGATCATTGCGTTAATTAGCCTTGCTGTTAGAGACAAAATTCCTGACACCCACAATTTAAAGGGACAGTGCTTTATCTTGGTTCACAGTTTCAGTGGGTTGAGTCCATGGTCAGCTGGGTCTGAGGCAGAAACAACAGAGAAGGGAGGGAGGAAGGGAGGGAGGGAGGGAGGAAAGGTGGGAGGGAAGAAGAGAAGGAAGGAGGAAGGGGGGGAGGAAAGGAGGGAGGGAGGAAGGGAGGGAAGGAGGAAGGGAGGGAGGGAGGAAGGGAGGAAGGGAGGCAGGGAGGGAGGAAGAAGGGAATAACACACCCTTGCAGACCATGTTCCCAGTGACCCTCCTGTAGTAAGGCTTCATTTCCCAACAGCACATTCAGCGATGAATTCACCAGTGATGAATCCAATGATAAGTATAGTACCCGAACACATGAGACTCTTGGGGGAGTATTTTAGATTTAAGCCACAGCAGTGATGAAAGGAGATAGCAGAATACTGCATTCCAAGCCTGGAAAACCACCACTGCAGATCGGAACGGAGTGACTCAAGAGCTCGGCGTGTTGAAGGATGTCACCATCATGCCCTCCGCCTTACACCATTGTAAATAATGTGAAGAAATGGAACAAATGGACTTAAAAGCTTTGGAAACTATCTGAGTGACAGGCAAGACCTTCCAAGCTAAGGCAGGTGCTCTTAAAGTTGTAGGCTATGGTGACAAAGCTAAGGAACTCACTTTAAGTGT